AAAAAAAAAAAAAAAAAAAAAAAAAAAAAAAAAAAAAAAAAAAAAAAAAGAAGAAGAAGAAGAAGAGAGAGAAAAAGGTCCAATTTCTGGACGCAGAAGAGCAGAAAGGCGAGGATCGTCCAAAACCAAACCCCAGGCTACTCCCCGCCAACACCCAAACGTCAAACAAACCAACTTCGCGCTCTAATTCTCTCTGCTCAATCCTTCCATTACAAAGAGACGACGAGCTCACCATTTCTTGCACCACTTCCCTTCTACTTCAATCATCATTCTATGATATAACATGACTCAATCGCCGGTGCCTCCGTCGTTGGCTCCGCCGCAGCCGTCGGCATTATACGGCTCCGGAGTTCAGGTCCGTTGCGCCGGTTGTCGCGATGTGTTGGTGGTGGCGTCTGGCCACACCGAGTTCTTCTGTCCATCTTGTCAATTGCCTCAGATGTTGCCTCCTGAGCTCATAGTTAGGGCCTACTCCAAGTCTCTTCCTCTTCCTACTCCGCCTCCTCCGCCGCCGCCACCGTCGTTGGCTCCTCCTCCTCCTCCTCCTCCTCCGTCGATACACCATGTCCCTGCTCATGGCATTGATCCTACCAAGATGCAGCTCCCCTGCGCTAATTGTAAGGCGCTTCTTAATGTTCCTCATGGTTTAACTAGGTTCGTTTGTCCTCAGTGCGCGGTTGACCTCGCTGTCGATGTGTCCAAGCTCCATCAGTTCTTTCCCTCCCGGCTGCCTCCTCCCGAGGAAGTCAACGAGGTTTCAATTTCTCTACTCTTCTATTGTTGTGTTTTGGATGATTATGGTGTTTTTTGCTCGGTTCTTAGATGGGATTCTGCAACTATCCATTTCTTTTGCTTGGAAGTCGTGCGAAGCTGGATAAGAGGTTTAGAATTCAAATACTTAGTTATCACTGCGCTTTACGTGCTGGTTACTATCTTGCATATGTTCTCTGGCGAATCCCTAAAGTTGGCCAGAAACTAACTTCTAAATCACCAGTAATTTATGGCAAAAAAAAAAAAAAAAAAAAAAAAAAAAAAAAAAAAAAAAAAACTTTGAATCACCATACATTTTCAAATAATGTTTCGTTGTTTAATTTCATGTACCGCTGCTAACAATTTCTCTCGTCACTCTTTCGGCCATCATTTATGGATTCGTGAGCCAGGCTTCCATAGCCTACGATTAGCAAGAAGCATCTTCTTTTTCAGTGTAAAAAACATCTACCATATTTATAAAAGGTCGATTCATACTTGTTACATGAGTGAGTTAAACTAACGCTCCACTCTTGCCTGTGTGGAAGTAAATTAGTTGTTAGCAAAATGGCTTTAAATGATCTCAGTTCTGTCACTCCTGAAGTGATAGTGATTCATGGCACCATCTCATGAGGAAAAAGTGATTCATGGCACCTTAAGTTAGATTTTCTGAGGAGCTCTTTTACTCTTCCTAAAGTAATGTTGATGGGAATAGGGTTGGTTGACATTTGATTGCATTGGTATTGGCATTAGCATTGACAGTGCCATTGTATAATTTTTAGGTTAAAATTCTATTTTCATTTTGGTTCCTGTACCTTGGGTTTCCATTTTAGTTCTTGTACTTCTAGATGTTCAAATTTAGTCACTGTACTTTTAATAAATCTTGAAACTGCTCCCTACTATTGTTTTGAAGTTAATTTTTAACAAATTAGGCAATAGTAACATTAGTTTCCAGCAAAAAAAAAAAAAAAAAAAAACGATATGGATATATTTTCAAAATTTATAGAGAGAGCTAATATGGACTAGTTTTTAAAAAAGAAAAGTTACCAATATACTAACACAAGGACCGATTTTAAGTTTTATTGGAAGTATGTGGACTAAATTGGACATTTGAAAGTATATGGATTGAAGTGAAATGAAACCCGAAGTACAAGGACCAAACTAGTGTTTTAACCTAATTTTTACTACCAAGGAATGGAGAAGAGTTTAGGCCCAAGAGTTATCTTGCATGCCCTATCTGACTTCACAGTGTTATTGAGTGGGTAGTGTTGTAAGAAATTAGTACTTTTGTTTCCGATGGTGGAACAAAGTCTTTGTGTGCCTACGTATATGTATTGAGATGTGAGAATGTAGATCGCAAATAATTGCCTCATACCCTGGTTAAAAATATGCATTGTCTCTAACAGGTCACATGCAAATGTCAACGGAGAGAAGGAGCATGTAACAATATATATTAGCTTGTGATTATGTAAATAGGGGGGTGTATATCATTTACTTATTTTTATATTCTTTCTCTATATGCTTAATCTTTTTTTTCAGGGGGGTAATACTGTGTAAAAAAGCCTTACAAGGCATGTGCTTAGACACTGGTGAGGTGACTTACCTCTTTGTGCATCCACTTATTGCTCAAGTTTTTTACTAATGAACAAGTGTTAAGTTAAATTAAAAGTTTTGTTTCCTCCCCTTTTAACAACTTTTATTATTTCATCAAAATATGTTTCCTTCGCACTCAAATCTCCTCTCACATAGGTCATAGATGTAAAGATGTATAGAAATGAGATCAAAGAGGAAGATCCAAAGGGCTATATATTTAGTGATGGAGAAAATGAGGATGGGGGGCGTATTTGGTGATGATAAGTTATAAATTTTATCTATGTGAATTTGTAGTTTATTTTTATGATTTTGTGCGATCTTTTGTTGTTGAAAGACATCATATTTGAAATTTGTTTGTCTTTGATGGTTTATCTATTATTTTCTGTTTCATGTTTCAGGCTTCATGCTGATTTTAATTTTATTTGTTAGCTTGTGGTTGTATATGTTCTGTATGCTTTGAGAAAACACTGGTATAAATTGTAGCAAGTTTGCTGTGCCTTTGTGTCTTGCCTTTATTATTGATGGCCATCTCCAAACTGACCGGACATGATCAAATGGGTCCCGAAATCTTAATTAGATGACTCTTATTTATTTATTTTTTATTTTCAAATCTAGTTTACAACATCTTTATGAGATGAAATGTGTCAGGTAGCCATTGAAGTGGAAAGAGAAGAAGATGAAGGTGG